ACAATACTGGGGGAGGAGTACAAATTTTTAAGCTCATCATTATGCAGTTTTCTCCACGCCCCATCGTCTTCTCTCCTAGGCCCAAATATCCTCCTCAACACCCTGTTATCAAACACCTGCAATCTGTGTTTCGCACCCATACAAAGCAAAAGGCAAAATTATTGTTTTGTTTACTTTAATTTTCAGGTTCGTAGAAATCAGACCGGAAGACAAAATATTTTGAACTGAGGAGTAGCAAGCTTTTGCGGAATTTAGTCTCCTCCTAACTTCCTCATGAGTATCATTTTGATTTGTTATATATGCCAATAGCTGATGTGTCCCATTCAATTGCAAACCCTCCTGCCTATCTTGGACTTTCCTGATGGCATATTCTAGTGAAAAGTTATAGAGCAATGGAGACAAAGCATCTTGTTTCATACCGTTCTTGATGGAAAATGAATCAGATAAATATTTACCTAATCAAATTTTGCTACAGGTTTCATTTAAGCACATTTTTATTAGACTCACTAGATTCTTTGGTAAACCAAATTCAAAAAGAATATTATATAGCACTTCTCTCTTCACAGAGTTATAGGCTTTTTTGACATCTATAAATAATTGATGTACGGTCCCACTGTACTCCAATTTTTTCTCTAGTATCTGACGAATGCAAAAAAGCTGATCAATTGTTGATCTGTTACGTCTGAACCCACACTGATGATATAGTGTTTCCCAAAAATCATTACTTAAAAACAGTTGCAAAACTTCCACAATAACATTTGTGTACTTCACTGCACTCTGAAGCCCAAATTCACATGTGAAACGTTGTCTGTCCCATGTAATACTGTCTTCCCTTTTAAGATTTTTCATTAATACCACTCTCTACCGCTTCATTACCAATATTACAATTCACTAATGTCAATTAGTGCATAATCCACAGGACTTTCACTGTCTGAGTTTAATACATTTTGTTCCAAATTATTTGTTATTTATAAAGATTCAGTAACTTATTGGTCTGACAGCACAACACAGCAGATTTATTCTCATAGCCTGTGGTTACCAAGGGCCTCAACCTCTGAAGTAACAAACAGTTCATTAACATCATGAGACAGCCTAGTACTCTGTATGTGAAAGTTAGCATTCATGACGAAATGTTACTCTTTCTGAGAGTAAATAACTAATAGAAGTAGAGCTTGTACCATGAGTCATGGATAAGTGGCGAGAAGAAACAGTAGAATGGTGGGGATATGTGTGTGTGTGCAGGCAGTAGCAAGAACTGCCATTTGAGACAGTACAATCATTATCAAATAATCTGCTCTCCATAAAGCCCAGCAGATATTTGACCTGCTTCACATCTCTGTGCATCATTCAGTCAAATGGACTTTGCCTGAGAGAATGGAATGTTTATAATTGCATGTCATGACTTGTGGTACTGGGTCTAATTTAAATTAATTACACACCGGGTTCATTCCTCTATTGGCAAAGGTCAACTTTATGTTATTTACTTCCAATTTATTAAGGGAATAAAAAAATACTTCTGGAAAAGAACATCAAAATAGTCTTTAATAGTGGTTTCTTGTTTTATACATCAACTTTTATACAGTTATCTTATCACCAAAATAAAGACAGTGATATTTAATGCCATAATGATGATTCCTATTTGTAAAACAGAATGTTATTTACAAAACCTTGTATCTGAATGACTGCTATTAAGGAATGTGCTAGACTATCAGGTACCCATGTTTTACTTTGATAATGCTTTTCCTAAAAATATCTTGTAAGTTACATGTTGCATACACAGCAAAAGAAAAAGTATCATTCTGACTTTGTGATACCACACTGAATAAGTCAGATGACATGATCTAAAATTCAATGAAGAGTTTGAAAACAGATTCTTTTTTGAAAAAGTAATAAAAGCACTCATTGTCCCCTTGCCAAATACACTCAAAAAGAACATATGCACATGTTCCACTACCACCACCACCACCACCACCAAAAACCTGCCATTACATCGGCAACTTTCATCAGTTTAGTGCCTCCAGAGTTTAAACACAAAACTGTGATTTAATTTAGATACTGTAAAGAAGAACGATTTCCATAATTTAATACTAATGTGGTTGGTTACTCTTGCTTTTATTTTTACTACATTATTTTACTTGAAAGCTATATGATAAAAAAGCAGAAGATATATCATGAACCATTATGTGAGCTGAATATGCACATTCAGGTAATTTGAATTTCATATACTGATTGCAATAGTTCAGAGCTAAAGATGCAGAGACTAGTACTTCAATATAACACTGTCTACTAATAAAATAATGATTTTCATATTTATAAATGTACTTCTATTACAGTGCAAAGTGAATCTTAAAATCTAGAGTTTGCAAAATGTGAACACTACTAATACAGCTTCTGGTATGAAAAATTCACATACATTAGTGTCACTACAGAATAATGCCACAAGGTACCAACAATAAAAATGCAAAGTACCATATTAAAACGATAAGCTCTTAGCCATAAATTCTACTAAACTCAAAATATACAGTAATAAAGTACTTCACCTATCTTAGGTTGATATAGATAATATAAAATACAATAAAACCATTCTTGTATTTATTCAAAGTACACTTTCAGGAAGGGTTTATTTTAATGTTTCTAACAACCATTCCCTTCTCTAACCCTTTCACTATTATGCACTCTTATACATTTCATGCAAGTCTTCCCACTCTGTGTTATACAAACAATTCTTGAGATTCTAAATATTTCTGTGGAAAAACTACAATAGATCCATTTGAAATGGCATGAAAGTAAAACTAAATATATGCCAGTTCTTATTTATTATCAGGTATGTGGAGGAATCATGATAGCCTAGCAACAAATATTGTATATCACCCCAGAGCAAAACCTGTAGAGGTGTTGCTGTTGCAGAAATTTCAAAATAGCAAAGACTCTGATGCAGAGAATGAAATGTACCCAACAGCAATTTCAAAGTGTAACAAGGGAGCAACAGGAGTACAGATATGTGTATGACATTCACAAAGCTTATTTGTACCAAAATACGAAGAGATGGTGTTGAATATTTGAGAAAACTGGCTCTATTCTGAATATGCATTGTGGAAGGAGAAATCATTATGGAGATATTGAAAGAGTGAGTTTTATAAGCTATGGTAACAAGTCTCAGGATTTGTGAAGTCTCAACGGCTGGCTTGGCTAGGCCATGTGGAGCAGATGGATGAGGAAAGGTTGCCGAGGAAGTTGCTGCGTGGGAGAATGGAAGGAAGGAGGAGATGCGGAAGAGATGGATGCAGAACTTGGAGGACGACATAAGGACCATGTGGGTTGGAAGGTGGTGGGAGAAGTTGTGGAGTAGAGAAGAATGAGGGCTCATTGTGAGGGAGGCCAAAGCCTTCCCCAGTCTGTAGAACCGAGGAAGAAGAAGAAGAAGCAAGTCTCAAAAAGTCACTGGCAAAGAAAAAAGTACCTTACAACCACCACCAAGACCACCAAGGCATAGCATCATTACTTGAAAATCTTTACATACCACATCCAGCACCTGCAGTTTTTACAATAGTAAGATTTTTGCATCTCATTTAGAATTCATAACTTTGGTATGTTAACAAAATGAACACTTTCTCATTAGATGGCTGTTCACCAATCAGGCCATGTTTTCTATAAGCTGGAGGGAACAAGTCCAGAACTCTGGTGTGGAGTTACATTTCACTGCAATTGCAAGATGATGAACACAATAATATCGTCCAGCAAGACAGTGTACTCTGCACTGGTCTTCCAAGCACACAACTTCAGTAATCAAAATTTATATGCAAATTTGTGGCATTACTTAGAGCTACTGCTTGGTTCTCAAATTCACATGACCTTTTTGGGTGGGGTTACTGGAAGAACCTTGTGCATGTACTGTTGCTGTAGTCTAAGAAGACACCACAAATGTTGACACCATACCGGCAATATTAAGGTATAATTATTATCCCCATAACTTGTTGCCTATGTTCAGCTTAAACAAATGCAGTAAACATGAGTATCATGTTTTAATGTTTTGTAATTTAAAATGGATCTCACTATATACTCTCTCTCCAACTTTCACTCTCTAAATCTGGTGCTACAATTCATGTGTTCACAAACAAAAAGCAAAAGGGTTGATGCACAGCACAGACAAATGCTATATCCAGGGATGGCAGTGAATCAGGGGTTGTGCATCTTTAGGGGCAGCTGATGACATGTCCCCAGAGATAAAACAATGTACTTGGTGTTGTAATGTCTGACAGTGAAAAGCGTATAATTATAGCGGCTGTACTGTATTGGAACTAGTTGAGGACTATTTAAAACCAGTCTCTCTTAGCACGTTATTCCTTATGTGTAAAACATTCACGTAAACTGTTCTCTGAGGAGCTACTATGGGCTAGTCGATGTACCACAGCCAGTTGTACCCTCTGAGAGGAAACTCCACCACATGCTGTTGGCTCACAAATTAACCTCTCTTGGATTCAAGCTTGAATATTTCTTATGTCACAAATAAAACATTCTTGTTTAATTCTGCTCAAAGGGTGGAAGAAGAGCACACTTTTGACAGAAAAGCAATGAAAGTCACACTGAGATTCTACTGACTCCTTTGGCTTCAGTTTGAATTTCAAGAGTGAAGTTCACCTTTCCACAATGCCTGTGTTGATTAAGATACTATTGTGATTCTTATTTATTGCTACTTTGTATGCTGCTATCATATATTACATCATGACAGGTAATGAACCTTAATGTTCCATAAAATGTTAGGAAATTCTTGAGTGGCTGAGTGAATATTGGCTTCTCTGCAAGGACTTGGCTCCATGGAGTATCATATATAGTGGTCACAGTAGCTTTTGTCCAGTGGAATATTCAAGGGGAAGACTAGGAGCGAGTCACTTGTACCATAGTGTCATGTTTCGTCTGCCTCCAGGAAGGATGAGGAGCTTATCAGACTGAATGCCAGAACAAAACAAATACACTGACCTGACCACCTCAAGTACAGAGTCCGCCAAATACAGTAATAAAGTACTTCACCTATCTTAGGTTGATATAGATAATATAAAATACAATAAAACCATTCTTGTATTTATTCAAAGTACACTTTCAGGAAGGGTTTATTTTAATGTTTCTAACAACCATTCCCTTCTCTAACCCTTTCACTATTATGCACTCTTATACATTTCATGCAAGTCTTCCCACTCTGTGTTATACAAACAATTCTTGAGATTCTAAATATTTCTGTGGAAAAACTACAATAGATCCATTTGAAATGGCATGAAAGTAAAACTAAATATATGCCAGTTCTTATTTATTATCAGGTATGTGGAGGAATCATGATAGCCTAGCAACAAATATTGTATATCACCCCAGAGCAAAACCTGTAGAGGTGTTGCTGTTGCAGAAATTTCAAAATAGCAAAGACTCTGATGCAGAGAATGAAATGTACCCAACAGCAATTTCAAAGTGTAACAAGGGAGCAACAGGAGTACAGATATGTGTATGACATTCACAAAGCTTATTTGTACCAAAATACGAAGAGATGGTGTTGAATATTTGAGAAAACTGGCTCTATTCTGAATATGCATTGTGGAAGGAGAAATCATTATGGAGATATTGAAAGAGTGAGTTTTATAAGCTATGGTAACAAGTCTCAGGATTTGTGAAGTCTCAACGGCTGGCTTGGCTAGGCCATGTGGAGCAGATGGATGAGGAAAGGTTGCCGAGGAAGTTGCTGCGTGGGAGAATGGAAGGAAGGAGGAGATGCGGAAGAGATGGATGCAGAACTTGGAGGACGACATAAGGACCATGTGGGTTGGAAGGTGGTGGGAGAAGTTGTGGAGTAGAGAAGAATGAGGGCTCATTGTGAGGGAGGCCAAAGCCTTCCCCAGTCTGTAGAACCGAGGAAGAAGAAGAAGAAGCAAGTCTCAAAAAGTCACTGGCAAAGAAAAAAGTACCTTACAACCACCACCAAGACCACCAAGGCATAGCATCATTACTTGAAAATCTTTACATACCACATCCAGCACCTGCAGTTTTTACAATAGTAAGATTTTTGCATCTCATTTAGAATTCATAACTTTGGTATGTTAACAAAATGAACACTTTCTCATTAGATGGCTGTTCACCAATCAGGCCATGTTTTCTATAAGCTGGAGGGAACAAGTCCAGAACTCTGGTGTGGAGTTACATTTCACTGCAATTGCAAGATGATGAACACAATAATATCGTCCAGCAAGACAGTGTACTCTGCACTGGTCTTCCAAGCACACAACTTCAGTAATCAAAATTTATATGCAAATTTGTGGCATTACTTAGAGCTACTGCTTGGTTCTCAAATTCACATGACCTTTTTGGGTGGGGTTACTGGAAGAACCTTGTGCATGTACTGTTGCTGTAGTCTAAGAAGACACCACAAATGTTGACACCATACCGGCAATATTAAGGTATAATTATTATCCCCATAACTTGTTGCCTATGTTCAGCTTAAACAAATGCAGTAAACATGAGTATCATGTTTTAATGTTTTGTAATTTAAAATGGATCTCACTATATACTCTCTCTCCAACTTTCACTCTCTAAATCTGGTGCTACAATTCATGTGTTCACAAACAAAAAGCAAAAGGGTTGATGCACAGCACAGACAAATGCTATATCCAGGGATGGCAGTGAATCAGGGGTTGTGCATCTTTAGGGGCAGCTGATGACATGTCCCCAGAGATAAAACAATGTACTTGGTGTTGTAATGTCTGACAGTGAAAAGCGTATAATTATAGCGGCTGTACTGTATTGGAACTAGTTGAGGACTATTTAAAACCAGTCTCTCTTAGCACGTTATTCCTTATGTGTAAAACATTCACGTAAACTGTTCTCTGAGGAGCTACTATGGGCTAGTCGATGTACCACAGCCAGTTGTACCCTCTGAGAGGAAACTCCACCACATGCTGTTGGCTCACAAATTAACCTCTCTTGGATTCAAGCTTGAATATTTCTTATGTCACAAATAAAACATTCTTGTTTAATTCTGCTCAAAGGGTGGAAGAAGAGCACACTTTTGACAGAAAAGCAATGAAAGTCACACTGAGATTCTACTGACTCCTTTGGCTTCAGTTTGAATTTCAAGAGTGAAGTTCACCTTTCCACAATGCCTGTGTTGATTAAGATACTATTGTGATTCTTATTTATTGCTACTTTGTATGCTGCTATCATATATTACATCATGACAGGTAATGAACCTTAATGTTCCATAAAATGTTAGGAAATTCTTGAGTGGCTGAGTGAATATTGGCTTCTCTGCAAGGACTTGGCTCCATGGAGTATCATATATAGTGGTCACAGTAGCTTTTGTCCAGTGGAATATTCAAGGGGAAGACTAGGAGCGAGTCACTTGTACCATAGTGTCATGTTTCGTCTGCCTCCAGGAAGGATGAGGAGCTTATCAGACTGAATGCCAGAACAAAACAAATACACTGACCTGACCACCTCAAGTACAGAGTCCGCCAACTCCGCTAGCTTCTCCACCGGCCAAAAACTACTGTGCCTGCTATACCAAAATAATTAAGTTCTTTTATCTGAATGCTGAACAGGAGTGACTATAATACTGTGTTAAATACCTAAAATTAAAGACAGAATAAATGTAATATTAAAGACCTCATTTTTATCCTTAAGTATAGGAGAAAGAAAATTGTTAAAACAGCTTGGTACTTTAAACTTGAGCACAGCAACACAAGGCATAATAGGTTGTTTTCAACTTCATATGCTCGTAAGAAGAGTTGGGTACATAACTGATGCAAACGGAACACGATGAAACTGAAGCCTCTTATGATCGTGTAATCAGAACCTGCAACTTTGTATAGTGTTTTAGATGAGTACCTCTGAAACTAGAATGTAAAAAAATTCACTTCTAAAACTGTACAAAATGAACTGCTTGACTACATATATCAAGTGTACAAACAGTGAATGGTGAAAGATGAAACAGAAGGGGTCAGTTATGTCACTGGAGGTTGATGAGATTACTGAACATTTCATGTGTCACAGTTTGTCATATTTATATGGTGTGTCAAACTCATGATTCATTCTTCTGTTCAGACCAAAATCAAACAGCAGAAAAATTGGCAAACATTTTTTGCATTAGCTTGAGCCCCACTGTCTTCACAGGTCAGTCTTATGATGGCACTATTACTATAAGAGCAAAGGAAACAATGTTCAAACCAAGATAAAGGAAATTTTCCCTCATTCTCATCCAAATAACTGTTATGCTCATCAGCTAAATTTTACCATAAAATAAGCATGTGACAAACATTAAAGAAATCTTCTCATGTCAGTTGGTTAAAAATCATGGCATTTCAGGGACCAACTCCATCCCCATCATGAGGTTAGCACAGACAGGATGAGGAGCGAAACGGTCCCTGAAATGTTAGCGATTTCTAACCAAGTGACATGGCTAATAGATCAAGTTTTTGTTAATAAAATAAACACGTTCCAATATAAAAGGTATTTTTTTTTATTTTGCCAACATTGCTAAATATGATGGCTGTCTTCTGAATTGTAGAACCACGTAGCCTGGTACTGTCAAGAAAACCTCAAATCATAATTTTAAAAAAATTACTTACTTTATTCTTTTTAGTCCCTTCAGTTCAAACTACAAACTGTGTAGCTACTGTGTAGCTGATGATTAGGATGTATGTGATATAATACACAACATTAAATATCAATCTGAAGAACCAAGTTACACTCTGCATTTCACACTAGTTGAACCACACCTTTCTGGTGCATATCAAAGACTTTTCCTTCTGAACTTGTACACAGGGTTGTCAAGCATTTTTTAGTGTTTTGTAAGGGTAATTTTTCAAATGAATTATCAGTTATATAGCAGTAAAAAGTGTGTAGGTGTGAAAATAATGGTTCGTTTTTGCAGTTTAATTAAGGAGCACCATCTTGAGAACAAATAATTATTATAATTGTTAGAGTTTACTTTTGTCAGCAGATGAATCAAGCATGTAAAGTGGAGGATTTTGATTAAGTCACAGAATATTAATGTTTACAGTATTTTACCAACAAGCTGGGATTTTTAAAGTCTATTAAACCTGAAAATAAGCATAAACACAGGTTACACTATGTAGAACCAAATGCTCTTCCTCAGTTTATGAAGTGTAACTGGATGTATATTAACATAACTTACAGAGAACTAAACAATACTGAACTCATTACAATACAACATATTTTTAAAACAACTTCATATTAGGTAGGTTTTATGAACAAAGGCATAAAAGAATCTGATCTAATTTAAACAAAGTTACACAGCATGAGTTGAGTGGTGTATGCTTATTGCACCAAAGCCACTTAGGCTTTCATCAAAATATCACTATTTACCACACCATTATTCAACATTATATAATGTAACAAACTCTTATGTTATGTAACGATCTATTCCCCAACATTGGTGGATGTATGTTTCAGTATGGAATATCTTTTAGGTATACAAACAAACTCAAATTTTTATGTTTTATTGTTTTCCTATTATTCACTGATTTCAATAATGTCAAAATAAAATACTTCCAACCCTTTCTATGCCATTCCTGAGACATCTCATTTAGAAACACTAGTATTCCTGGGCTGAACTTATTCAGCGTCTGATACATCAATGAAGAAAATATGTCCCATCACCTCTCAACACTTCTCTCATGGCTTTTCAGCTTTCTCACAAAAGGAATTATATAGTACCATGGAAATATAATAACAGAACATCTCTTTAAATAACAAGGTTGGGAAAGTGTACTCTTGGAGTACAATAAAATTCTAAAGGTGTTCTTCACACCAGATTACATGGATCCCTGTTGCACAAATGTAGGTCATTGTTGCAGTAATGTGATCCCAAGTCACTGCTGCACCTTAGGTCATTTTTACATAGTGATCCAAGGTCATTGTCACACAACAGAGTATTCCAACAACTGGATAACTGGTCCCACTGCTGCACAACAATAACCCGTCATGCAGTCTGCCTACCCCACATGAAAAAAACAAACATGAATAGGCCCATAAGCGGTTCTTCATTCATGCTGAAGTGTGAAGAACACTTTAAAGCAGCATTAAAAAAAGTGAATCCCTTTCAGACCCTGGATGCACAGTTGTGCAGGTCAGGATGTAAATAATTTCACATCAGAACTGCCAAGCACGTGTCCTGTACACACACTTACAGACCTCATTTTACATCCAACATTCTTTAATGTTTATTTCTACCACAAAATGACACTATAGGTTGTAGAAGTTCTAGAAAATCAAGGACACTCAGAAAGAATGCAGTTTTTGTAAGAAATCACATATTACTGCACAAAGCTGTTAAAAATTCAGAAACAAAACATAAAACCTCACAGTGAACGAAAGATAGATATTAACTTGCAAGTTTCATTTGAGGTGCTATATTTAATGCACTGAACTTTTAGTGGCAGAACTGTATGTCAGGACTCTAAGTTTCATATGGCAGTAGTGCAACATAACCTCATATTGACTAATCATCATCAGCTTTACAAATGACAAAGCAATTTGCTCTTTACTTTGTTTATATGTTGTGGAAGAATTCAATAGTAATGCTGGAGAGATTGAGAAGAAAGTACATCAGAAAGGTAAGGTTAGGTTTTGAATATGAGGGTTAACTTTGTACGAGCTGTCAGTTCAATCTCTCATCCAGACTACCACCAGGGCCATGAACCACAAACCACAGTGATATCAACACAAGCAACAACAAAGCATGTCAATTCCAGATCAGCAAAGAAGTATGCAAAGAAAGAAGCCATTAACTTCAAAAAAACTTCCTATTCTTGAAGAAGAGGTAAAAATTTTAAGTGTGGCCTTCTTTGTTGTAGCACTGTGTAATCTTGTATGTGATGATCAATGTTTCAGTGCAAAGTACTGCATCCATCTTCAGAGTATGATATGGTCCTCCAAAACACTGATAACCACCTACAAGACAACACAGGATAACAAAACAACCCACAAGACTACAATCAACATCTTCACCACCATAACAAAAACTCAAATCTCAAGATGTAAGACCCTAACTCTCTCAGAAAATTATGTATTGTATTACAATATATATTATTTTGGTTTCAATTAAATGTTTTTACTTTTCTGTCCGAACCAACTGAAGTGACAACGCTCCTCTCATATTTCATAAAATATTTTCCTAGCAAGCATTTTTAAACAACTCTGACTTTGCAAATATGCACTGGTAAAAATAAATAAAGAACCAATTACCCAAGAAATAAGAAATTCAGTGGATTATGGGCTACAAAAGAAGTTCTCTGAATGTTACATATTGGTAGGCAAAGATGAGGCTACCAATTATATAACAGATACCATGGCAAGGATAGTTTTCTTATTCTGTAAAATGCTCTTCAGATAGAATCTAGAAAGCATCACATAAAATAGACTATTGAAGGTACAACCAGTCACAGATACATTCAGAACTGGATATTAGAAAGATACCTAGAATACAAACAAATAATACTTTCTACAGAACACAGTTCATTATGTTCATAAAAGCTTTATATTAGCAGCTTCTAATGGTCTTTGGATTTTGAGGTACACCAAGAAATGACAGTACAAACGTGTAGCATTAGACCTATCTAGTGGTTTATGTGTAAGAGAAACTGCCAATCAACTTTCAATTTGTTGTGGTAATAACATAATCTAAATTTTCTTTGTGGACTACTAGCTTTCAAAACAAGTATGAATTATTTATGCTTCCTAGGATCTGAAAGGGTTAATGCACTGATTTAAATACAAAATAATATCATTCTGCAGTAAAACAAAAAATATTTGGAAGTTTGGTTTTGAATAATAAATAATAAAATCAAATTTGAAAGTACACATATAATTCTAGTAGATTTAACTCATATTTCAGTTTTATCACACCCACAAATATAAATACGGAAATCTTCATAAATACATGATTCTGTAATTCTATGAATATGAAATATCTACAGCTTTTTCTGCCTTATAAAAGCCAGATACTTTCCCAAATTTACATATTTCATGAAATGTTAATACTCTCCTCTCTACTATGTAAAGTAGAACAAATGTACCTACGTGACAATAAAAATAAATGTCTTCAGTAGTTTATATTGCATACACATATTTCTGTAGAAATATCTTCTCTCTCTCTTTATAATGAACAGAAAAAAATTAATAATAATAATAATAACCAATCCCATCAAATCTAAAAAATTACAAATTGTAAAGGATAAATTGCACTCTGTTGCTCTCCTGTTCCCTTGCAATTCCTGCAATGTGGATTAACCTGATACAGGAACATTTTATGTCACATAATAATATGAAGACATTGTTAACAACATTATGACAACAATCAGGTGAGAATAAACAGAACACACACACACACACACACATGCACATACATACTTGATGTTTAATAAAGTTTAATCTGTTCCAACATTATCTTATATATATAATTTTGTAGGGATGATTATATGTCCTTCAGATATTTTCCAATATATACACACACTGTGTGTATTTATAGTTGATGAAGCTCACGCAATCACATATGAATGATACAAAAACCATGGTTCCCTGGATTTAACACAGCTACTCAACATCAGAGTTGTCTGGTATACCATCTGCTGTACACAATCTCATTATAATCAAACACCAGATCTATTTGTCACATATAAATACATACAACGCAGGAAAAAGATGGGTTTCAACAATTTCCAAACACTGCTGTATGACTGAATCTAAGAGCTAATATCAACAACAAAGAGCATTGAATAAAATTAAATAACATTGCAGCACTTTGAAACCAATAATAATCAATGACAAAAGCCATTCCAGACACACATTTAGAACTCTACAAGCCTAGAATGCTGCTGATATGTATAGCACATAATGAAAATTTGGTAAGACTAGCTAGCATCTTGTCCTTAAATGCAACCAAATGTAAGGAATTCAAGCTATTCAATATATATCAATGCAATTTGGAAATTATTGCAGTAGTCTTCAGCATTCTAGATTAAGAGCTACAGAAGTGCAGGATCAGTAAGCCCTCAATTCCAGAAGGCCTGGAATGATGAAACAGCTCATTACTAGAAAGAGAAAACTTAGACCACTCACAACACAAACATCTTGATTATTTCAGTATTTTATCCTAAAATAGTGAATTCTGAAATTAACACAATGGCTTGGATTTACAAACAGCTCATCAGTAACCCACGTGACAATTCTTACATAATGTCCATTGAATGCATTCTTTTTTTTATCCTTGCCACTAAAATCATGACATGTTTCAAAGCATAAAATATTTCACCTTAACAAATTCGGCAACAATGGCCTAAAGAGGGAACAACACTGCATTCACTAGAAGCATTACTGCCATAAATTGGTTGCGAGTGTGTGGCCAGCACCAGCTGGTGGTGGAAATACACCAATTCCCACACCTGCACTGCCTGTATTGGGCATTGTGGGTGCAATGTTCATTCCCATACTTGATATCTGCATTCCAATTGGTTGAAATTGACCCATCACAGCTTGGGGTTGTGCTGCCATCATGGCTACCCCACCAAGGTTCATCCGGGCCATCTGCTGAGGTAGCTGCCATAAGGAAACAAAATGGTGATCATAGACAGAATTTTAAATTTCAATTTATTATTAAAACTTAAAGCAAGCAAGTGGCTTTAGTGTGAAAAAAGATAATAAGTACAAGCATTTATATGAAAGTAAGATAAAATAAATATTCTTATACAAGTAATGTAAACAGGCCTCAACATATTCCAGATACCAGGTCACTTAAGGTACCCAAAATTGTCATTGTACTGCCTAGTATTTTCTGGAGCACTGTTCTGAAGTTTTTATAACAGACATATAAATGATTTTAAAACTCGACTATAGTCCTTATTCAATCACACAGCTGACATAAGAGAATGATATATTGTAAATGGCATAACTACTGAGTTGAAATTCTTAACATGCAATCCCCCTGCACCGTGCAGGAGTTACCCTTATCATGGGTTACTGTAAACACCTTGTTCCAAACATGTACTGGATGATGTTCTATGCATATGTCTGAGTCCTTTTTAAAGACGTCCTACTGAACTTTATCTAGAAAAATAAACTGCATGAAGTTTCAGAAATAAATAAACACACAGATCCTTGATATCTGAAATGTCCATTTTGGCTTGTTTAAAACAGTTGTCTCCATTAGAAAACAAGACCGTAGTTCCCAGAAGAACAAAAGTATATTAGCTCATAGGTAAATAATAATCTTATCCACCTTCAGAAAACACTAGGACTGAATTCCAGAGCTGCCAGACATATCTTTGATTTTCCATAATCTTCTCACAGAAACCTGCCAGCCACTTATAGTTTATCATTATAATAAATGTGGTATTCATCATTGCTTACACTGACATCTTCTGTGAAATAAAAAATAATGATACATGTATGTATTGAAATAAAGTATAACAGAAGGACAAGACATGTAAAAGCTAGTTTTATTATAATGGGGGTCTCATTACATTTTTAGATGCAATACGAATCCTGTGAAGCACCTATTAAAATCACTCATCCATTAAGTACAATGCAAGAACTCAGAAATGGCTTAACAGATTTCCATATGAAATGCGGAGTTTTACTAAAATATGTGAACACATTCCAACATTGGTTTAGATCACACTACAATAACAGGCAACATGCTTTCTTGCACGCAGAAGTGACTGGGTGGGAAGTCCCCCTCCAGGGTAATTATTGTATGGAAAATTCCATCCTTCAGTTCACTAAGATCAAATGTCAAATTCTGGTGAACACTTCAGAATTGTTTCTAGGAGTCAGGGTGGAAATCCTGTACAGTTTATTAGAGGATGATACCCATAATCTTAGTACTACCAAGTTTAAGAAGTGCTTGATGTGTAATTCTGATGAAGATTGTCTCCAAATTTTGAGAGACCAAACCTCAGCTTCCTATTTCATGGGTACCAGGCGTCCTTTTCCTGGAGGTAAAGCGTGGCCAAAGCATAATGGTGACAACTCACTCCATCTAGTGCTGAGATCAAGAATGAGTACAAGCCATACCTCCTCTCTCCGCAAGTGCTACCAGGACAGCTTCAGTTTTTTAAATGGTGCAGGGGCTTTGGCCACATACAGAAGGCAATTTCTAATACCTAGAGGTTTGCTTCTCTGTGTATTTATCAATGGTTTCTCAATTCTAGTCAAAGAATCAAACCTGGGACCTTCAGAGTATGAAAGAGCGATACTAACCATTCATCTATGATGTTCAAACAGCACAGACATTTCTAATACAGTAAAACCTCTCTAGTTGGACACCTCTATATCCTGGACACCCCTCTATATTGGACACTTTTAATTGGAACCAGCAAATATCCTATAATTTTACATTGCCACAATACCCTATATCTTGGACACCCCTCTATCCTGGTTGAACCCTTCACTGGACTACAGTACGTATTACTGGTACAGTTTTAACTTTGTCAGTACTGAGCTTGCAACTGAGTTAAACAGAAATTGGAACGGTGTGCTTTCGCTCATAATCAACCAGGAATGGTTGAAACTTTATTCTGATTGCGACGAAAATTAGAAAGAGGATGGCAAATTCCAAGATAAAAGCAAAAAAGCAGTGTCTTGTGACGGAGTTTTTTACAAGAAATAAGTGACATCATATGTTGAGCTAATGCCTTAAGTACAATTAAAAAGAATACGTTCTGAACATTTAAAATTTCATTGAGGCTGGGGTGTAATGTGCAACCACGAGAGTGGGTTTCAAAAGATTATTATAATTAATAATTAAATTATTCTTAATTCGATCAAGCCTACAGTAGTTAGATTATGTAAGTAAATAGATTGATTGCATTGTCGGTAAACGTAAAGTATTGGTGCCCTTCCCTATGAGCTTATCCATGCAAGTTTAATTTAGTGAAAACAAAATTTGTAAAAATTTAATTTACCTTTTTGATTTTTCTTATCAATAATTTCCTTTTTGTGAAGGGCTCCATAATACTTTACAATTACCACATTGTTATTACACGACAATTTGAAAGGATGATTTTCCCCCTTTCCCTCTATCCTGGACACCCCTGTAAGTTGGACACATTATCGTGGAACCGCTGGTGTCCAAGTTAGAGAGGTTTTACTGTATCAGTTTGTCAGTGGACAAAAAGATATAAATAGGAAACACAGAGAACAACTAAGGCTACAGAATACCATCCATACACTTTTCTTGGTATCTGCACTCAACAGCAGTGATCTTGGTTTGGCTCATTATGCCTTGGTTTATGGTAATGCAAATATTCAGCACTAAAGTCATTCTGCACTTGGGCGGGGGGATCAGTCCTTTGTTACATGTGTACACTGCTCATAACAAAGAATTTTATTTTGGATGGTAGTACTCTGCAGTGCGTTATAGTAACCTTCCTTCCTCCCAACCCCATCCTATTAGAAGTTAAATAAAGTGAAACAAAGGTATATTCAGCATTAATAACAGATTGTATTGTCTTATGTGACTTACAGACCATGGAATAACATATCCATGTTTAATCCAGTCTTATAACTAAGAGATATCATCTCCAAAAAATTCTGTAGAGGGAAGTTATTTTGAACTCTTCAAAACATGTCAGTGTATTGGCTGTGCAATTAACTCATGATCTGTACTGTACCTGGCCAGCCTGTATTATCCTTCTACGTACTGCATTGCTGATGCTGGAACAGCCTACTCTTCACTATGGATAGGCTACAGTGTGACACTCACCTGAGATGACACTGGTGCCTGAGCACTACCGGGGACATCTAACATCAAATCTTGGTTCACAGTCTGCGGTGCATGCTCCTACATTACGAAACACCAAGCCCAAACAAAAGTGTAAACCAAAAATAGAAACTAAGAAATCAATGATCATACAGACATGTTGATTCTTCAGTACAATATTCTACACTATAAATACAAAAAAGAACTCTGCTTTAGCCTTCACCTCTTCAAACAGGAAATAAGAATGACCAAACTGAAAGAAAATAAAGAATTACTATATTAAATTGAACAAGTATTACATCACTTCCCGCACCGTAGCCGCGCTGTCTGAGGCATCATGCTTCGGACCGGCGATACAGAATGCACGCTGGTTCGAGTCTCGGGGGAGAAGAAATTTTCTCACAAGCTTTCGACCAGTGTACGGGACCGGTGCCAACCCAGCATCATGAGGAAATTGGGGAGCTACAATGAGTAGCGTAATCCGGTCATGAAAACTAGCAATGGCTGGGGGTTCGTCGTGCTGACCACACGTCACCCTATATCTGGTTGGATGATCGTTCACCTCTGCTTAGGCATGTGAACGTGAGGCCAGCAGCCAGCTAGTCGACTTTGGCTCTCTGGAGCTGTTACGCCACGGATTACATCACTTACCATCACCGGGGTACATTTTAGGATTCTGAAGGACCACTGTAGGTTCTAAAACTGCTATTCCTGCCAGAGGGATACAAATTTCACATGCACAATGATTCATCTTTTATCATAAGCAAGACATTTCTAATGGTTACCATGTTATTTTATATTTTTATAGAAGTTTCATTCAACAGATGTTTCATATGTTATGAAAATTTATCTAATATGAAACTTCAAAATCATGCACTAAATGACCCACACCACCTCACAAGATTACAAATGAACCATGTTGATATTTTTAAGACAAGGATTTACAAAACTATCCAGAGAGGCTTAAAGTGGCATGATGCATAACATATTTTCTCCTGACCAATATTTTTAATATATTATTAAATGTTCTCCATATTTCTAGGTTACTTAACTGTAGTATCATATTTCTTTTATGTAACATATTACCTTCTCAATTACATTTCATTTCACATATATCGATTATGTTCTAATTATTTTTAGAAGTAAACATTAAACCTTGTAGAATGGTTCTGAATGTAACAAACAGGTTGAACAATATCTTGCTTCCTTGAATTGCTTCAATTTTTATGATACTGCTAACAAAAGCTTTAAACAAGTAACCATACAATCTAATAATCAGTTTCTCTATATAATTTTGACTATTACAGATTCCAACTATGTTATTTTGTTCTGCATGGTCATCATTGTAAAATTAAAAAAGGAACTCACACACAGAATCTGTATGTATGTTTGTCATACTTCTTCGCATAAAATATCATGTGCGTAGCACAAATGGTTCATCAGTTATCACACTGAAAGCTACAATTCTACGATATAATTTTACATTCTACATAATGTTTCTTACATTTAAAAGATAAGCCTAAGTACAAAGGCATTTGTAAGCTTTGGTGACATAAATATGACAAAGCAAATGAGTTGTTTGTTAGTTTCTATTTGTGAGGAAAAACCTATAGAACAGCTTCACAAAGACAAACAAACATTTCCTGTGTCCCAAAATTGTTACTAGTCAGTGTAATGTTGTTTTATTCAGTGGTTTCTTATCAGGACACTCATTCTAAATTATTCACAGACTGCAGCCAATAATTTCTACTTGAGGTAATGATTGATTATGAATAAACCATGTTCATACCAGCATAACTTGTGAAAAACTGGCATGAGCAGTGGCCTAGCAACAAGGACCTGGGGATAGATCTGCTTCTTATTTCAGTTTTGTACCACAGCATGTGACTGTTGCGGTTTAACCAGTACACTCTGCATAAAACATTTACCTCAACAAAATTTGAACTTTTTTAAGATTTATTAACACACAAAATGCCAAATTCAATGCTAGTATATTTATAGTGCTGCTAGTGTGACTCCAACATCATAACTTTTCAAGGCTGTCTCACCATTGCTATTAACAGTACAAAATTAAAGAATAAAAGTACAAAGGTTGGGTGGCCTCTAGTCGCACTATGTTAATATCATGCTGCATGAAAATCTGTCAACTGATCACAATGTTTTTGTGCGTGTGTGTGTAAAGCACATATGCCATCATGCAGGAAAAGACAATGCTGACGAGTCCATGCACAATGATTATTTACTGAACTACATCTGCAGCTCAGATATGTTTAAAACCAAGTTTATACTAAAACTATGTCAGGCATAACAAACCTGAGACATTGCTGGGAAGCCTGCTGTGGTGGCTGCAGTGTTGCCAACAGCTGCTGCTCCGATGTTAAAAAATGGATTTGAAGCCAGGTTAGGCTGCTGTGGAGGCAGGCTAGTTGTATATATTCCATTCTGTAACAACAAAAGGTACCATATACAGCACAGCTGGCTTGTCAACATACCTGAAAAAACATGGGTGAACAAACACACTCATCCATCTGTCCGTGATGGGCAAAAGTATGTATGTGTGTACATTTTAGAGTTAAATGTTCAATTTAATGTGCATTCTACATTGTACATTATGTACATTTAATATATAATGATGACTTTTGAAGGTGTTCCAATGACTTATCATCACTGCAGTTACTATCTTCAGGGTGACAAATCATGAAAGCTGAAGTTAAACATTAGCCTTCTACTAGTTACAAACTCCTATATAAAAGCAGGACACTCCAGCTAAGGAATACGGTAAACTCTAACGCTGTTTAGTGTTGGCAATCGACAAATTTTACCTTATTCATCTGTACAATTATTTATTATGGTCCTGCATATTGTGGTCTGAAAATTTTAAAACTAAATCCAATTATTTAATCTATGTTATAAAGGAGATTTCTTTGGTTTAAAATGTAAATGTCTTTCATTCAGAGTAGAAAGTCATATTTAAATGCTCTTCGATGTTAAAGGGTTATCCCACTGGTTTACTTTTAATGGTTAAGAATAACTGCCTGTTCAGGTGACGTTAGCTACTTCTACAGCCATGTAAATTCATCAGAAGAAAGTTGAAATAGTCAAAATATTAGACAACAGATGTCATGTATAATACCTACATATTAGTAATGAGGAAGATTAATTATTTATTAGATAAGATCTCAATTAATTTTAAAATTTTAGCAAGTAATCTGAAGTTCTGGGAGATTCAGACTTAAGTATAAGTGGAAATATAATATTAAAACGGTCTTAGAGAAACAGAGTGTGAGGGTAAGCACTAGATTCAAGTGGCTCTGATTAGGATTGACTTTTGTGAACAGGGTACCATATGAGCAGAGAACCTACAAACTTTTCAAGAAAGCCATTACACCATGAAGTTAAGCAGTTTTAGTAAGCCAAGGGTTAATGTGAAACATATTCAAGCATGGCTAAGGGACACCAAGATAGGTAAGTGGCACACAGATAAAGAAACAACCTGGCATCAGTTACCTGCACAACTTGTGTTCCCTGCATCATACCATTAGGAACTGCTGCTGCAGGAGCTCCTGCCACACCAAATGCCACTGCAGCCTGGGGATACCCTGTTGCCTGCGTCTGTGTGTATACACCACCTTCAACACATTAGTAATTAAAAGGACCATCAGTTTCTATACTTACTTACTTACTTAGGGTACTTAGACAACCAGTTCTTCAGTGCCTTCAGCATCTGCGGGTCCCAACTTTCGTTGGCTTTGATCTACCAGACAGTTGGTAGGACTCCTTGGACGAGTGATCGGCCCGTCGCAAGGCTTCTACCTGTACACAGGACAGCACAACACAGAAAGACGCGGACAAACATCCAAGCCTTGAGTGGGATTTGAACCCATGATCCCAGCGACCAAGCGGCACAAGTCCCACGCCTCAGACCGTGCGGCCACTGTGACGGCCTCAGGTTACAAACACTGGAATGTATACTGTACCTGGAATTCCAAACACAGACGCAGGGTTCCCAGCCTGTGCCTGTGAAGGCACTGTTGAATACAGAGCCAATATGGAATCTTTGGTGAGTTGTCGCCTTTCTTGACTGCTAGGTGCTGGCTGGTTGAAGAAACTCTCCTCCTCTGCTGAGCGGCCTTTGTTGCTGTCAGCATCTGCTTTGTTAGGTGCTGGGGAGGTGGAGAGAGCAGAGGGAGCTGCAGCTGGGGCACTCAAAAAATTGCTGAAAATATCATCTCCACCTGAAGTACCCGTACCACTTGTTGATGACAGTGTGCCAATGGGGGTGTCTGTAATGGAAATTATAACCAGTCTGTTTCAATTAACATTTTAACATGGGATAATTTTTGCTGCACATATTTACTATATCACTGCCTAATATCAGAAATCACAAGCAAACTTTCGTTTAAATAATAATAATTCATTCAGTACTTCACCGTAATTTTGTATACTATATTTCAGACATGTTTAAAATCCATTGAATTATCATCAGTCAACTCCACGTCATACAGATTCACATATCAATTATACTTGTTACATTTCCATGTGTATGTTTAAAATATATGTGTTGTCTATATTCATTTTCACATATCTGTCCACTGCCTTGTTAAATGACTACATCTCTTTTGTGAACCTTTAAAAATTGATATTCAGTAGGCATCTTGGTGGAGACAGAAAATGCATATAACATTTTTGAGAAACCTGAAGGAAATTTACCTAGGTATAGCAGGGAGGATAATGTTAAATGCATCAGAAAGAAACAGTATGAGGATATGTGACTTAGATACACCTGGTTCAGGACTGGGTACTGTGATGGACATTTATAAACACAGTAATAAACCTTTGAATTTTATATAAGGGGCAAGGGGAGAGGTAATCTTTTGTCAAAAAGGACTCTGATCCACAGACTTAGTACTATACATGCAAGTTATATTAAGATTTGTGTTCTTAGTCGCCACTCAGTGCATCTGGCTGTGTCAAGGTCGGACAAGCAGGCATTCTAGTGACTTAAGGGTAAATGGCTGTCAGAACAGAGCAGAACAAATTTGTTCCTACCACACTCATACAGAAACCTTCTTCCATTCTGACCCTCCTCCCTACTTGTCCCTTATTTGGCTATGAAGATAACCTGCCTGTACAATACAAGTATCTTTATTTGATACTGCCTTACTGCCGTTACTAAAATGACCACTTTTACCCTCCAAATTATGTCGAGAGTTGAATGTTAAAGAGATAAATTCCACACACAATACAGTGTATAGAATGTAATTCTAATATGTTTGGACCATGCCAGTTACTGTTGTGATCATGACTCATCTTTCACATGTTGACTATGCTGTGTTGCTTGTGTTTATATACTATTATTTTATGAACTTTACACAGATAGCATGCAATGCAGTTTCTAAAAAGAGATTGTGGTTGACAGCTTAGATGGTAGCTACCGACAGTTCAATTAAGATAAAAATGCATACAGTTTTGAATATGGAGCCTCGACAGCTCAGCCAGTATAGCAACTTGACTATAGGCTGGATGACTGGGGTTCGATCCCACCAGGGGCAGAGAATTTTTCCTCTCTCCAATGGGTACCAAGGTCCTTCCCTGAGAGTTAGGTACAGTCAGGGCATGACACTGACCACTCACACCTGTCTAGTGCCAAGGTTAAGAGTGAGAAGGAACTATATACTTCCTCTCCCCCAAAGCACCTCTATGGTGTATAGTGGAACAGCTTTATGTTTTACTTTTACTTACTTTTATAGTTTAGAATCTGTTGTTAAATTCTCTTGGATTGGACAGTGAGTTTCTTTAATAAAGCTAAACAACACTTCAAAGCCTAAAGCAATAATACAAATCATGCAAGAAGATACTCTATAAAAGGTAATTTATTTTTCTCATGCTACAGCAGATTTAACAAACATTCCCTGAAATTTTTAGCACATCCAAAAGAAATTGGCTCAGCACTCACAGGGTTAAACACACCTATCAAAGGCCAAGTGGGATTAAGACTTTGCCCTAAAAAACAAGGAGAAAAGAATAAATACGACGGAATCTGCCCCTTACACTCACCTAGCCCCAAAAGATCTTGTGTTGCAGTTTTGGCAGGTTTGTTTAAATCAGCCTGCGTGCGTCCAGGTTTAGGGCTGGTAGAACCCTTAGGTTTGGGCAACAGCTGTGGTACCGTAACATCCGACACAGTTTTTCTGGCCTGCTGCTGCTGTTGTTGCTGTTTTGCTTCCTTCTTCCGCCTTTTTTGTCTTTCTGCTTCCTCATCTAATTCTTTATCCCAATTTACCTGCAGATCAAAACAAACCACAATTACCATCACTGTGTGCATGCATTCATGATACAAATTCCTCATATTACTCAAATGCACACTTTTCATTTATGAATATTCATGCCATATACTGCATCAGATCAGGTTTAAAATGCTGACAAAATTAATATTTCTAAAAACAAACTTTACTTCCTGAAAGCTCTAACCCACAAAAACGTGATCTGGCTGCAATTCAAAAGTGATGAAGGCATATGTATATATAAAATTTATCAAACAGCACTGAAGTCCTATAATTAAAAACTGATTAGTAAGCTGTTTTAAATACAACAAACTACATCATATTAACGTACAGTAAAAAATGACTAACTCCATGTTTCTGTTACCAATGAGAACCCTCTATTTGTATTTCTGAATTCATGACATCAAGTTTTCAATTTTGTCATGAAACTGTGATTCTGGTTAAAACTTTCAGTGATAAGATGTTGACTGTGGTCTTCACACTGTCACAACCTGAGAGACCCAGAAAATGTACATCTTCACTACCATGAGAACCTCAAGGGTCACTACATAGCATAACTCAGAAGACACAGTCTATACCCACGTGATGTTAAAAAATCACTAAATGACATGCTACAATATGAGGAGTTGCACATTCTAGCCTAATTTATCACACACACACAGGAAAATACTTCTAGCACAGAAAAAAGATCTATACAAGTTCTTTAAAATATGTTATCACATTCATTCAATCACTGTCATGTAATTTAGAGAGACTGCACTCATGCCTTGCCACTTGAAAAGTCACAGACTATAGAGAGTAAAATATGTAAATCAAAGGTTTTAAACATGTGGCCCGTGTACATTCTTGTAATGCTGTATTATTCTGCATAATGAAAATATAGTTACAGTCCAAATTCAATACCTAATTTCTAATAGTAAAATAGCCACCAATAAATCTGTTACAACAATTATGTTAACTTGTGATAAATCTGGAGGGGGAAAGGATTGCATAGAATCTATATCTGTTATCAAATTAAAAATTAACTCACTATGGTTTAAAAAATAATAATTCTCATACCTTTGGTATAGATGGTGGAACCCACTCTCTTGCAATATACTTTTTCTGTTCATATTTAGCACGGACAAATGCTTCTAGTGAAGAGTCAGTCTGTGGTCGTCTAAAGTTGTCAGGAAGATTTGCTTCATACACAGCTCTAGCACGGCTATTTCCCATCTGCTGAAGACTCTACAATGGAAAGAAATGTATAAGCCCATATAAAGAAAGCAGTAAAGGTGGCAGTACCAAAAATAAAATAAACTGGCCAAACCATGACTATGCTAACTCAAAGGTATTATACTGTTGTTCGATCGAATAGGTCGTAGGTGCTGCTAAATGTAAGTCTCGTTCCTACGCCTCTGTATACCAGAATTTAACCATTTAAAGTATTAAGCTGAAGTTGGTGATGATCAGCTTACAACAACTTGTTCTGGTGTCCACGTATCCAAGTTAACGGACTTCACTTTCGAAATGTGGACACCAAGATTTCTGTGAATTCCTGCACAACGAATGCAGAGGAAGATTCCCAGATTCCAGGACGCCCATCTTGGACCTGTACAACAATTACAACCACAATTTCACTCATGTCCAAAGGTCCTATATTTATTGCATTCCACAATTTCAACAAGTTATTTCAGTCAGAATCCACAGTAGTACATTTATACTAATTTAAAGCAATAAAACCACACAACATTAAACGACATATAAACATCCGGTATTTTGACAATTCTAATCTGGATGTACATTGAAATCTACCTTTCGCATCACAATCCACACAATATTTATTGTCTTCATCTCTTAGCATTTGCGTCAGAAGTGCTTGGCACTTCTCTTGAATTTGTTTCTGCCTGTCCTTTTCTGCCTTTGTTGCCATTATTAACGTATATTCGTTCCTAAATAAATTAGAATTTCACTACAATTTGTAATTCAACGCTCGTATCTGCCCCCTTCCTTCAATATGGCCACAGACACCACACACGTTACGTTTAAATTGATGGTAGTGGCACCTGCAACAGAAAATCAAACTAACACTTGACCCACGCAACGGAGCAGAACCCACGATGGTGATCCGTGGCGGCACGGGAGCTACTTCGAATTTTAAAAAATTTACAGTGGAACCACGGTTCCGGAGAATCTGACGTAATTACGTCTATACGAAAAGGTAATTTATATATATTAGCATTAATTACAACAATATTAACAACAATGCCGAATAAACAGATGACGTTTCCTAGGTAACATAACAATGCACGCAAGCTGACCATTGTTGTTGATCCATATTAACACATTGTTGATATGGATCTTACACGTTTTCCTTTCACTTTTTTGCCGAATGACCCTTCCGTATAGACATATTTACGTCAAAATATCATACAATATATATGCATACGTATGATATGTTTTCCTATTTAATTAATTGTAAAATACAAGGTGATTACTATATTTAATAGGTAGTTCAGTCAGCATATCCATGATCAGCACAGTGATTACGCTGTATAATTGGGGTTCAATTGCTATTAAACTTGAGATTTCTCTTTGCCACAGAGCAAAGATGAGTTCCAGCACGGATTAGGTCTATTTAAAGAACGTACAATCAATGCTATCAGTGTGTAGTTGTGCATAATGGCATTCATATATCGTTCTGTCATCTATCCGCATCGCATCTGAACCTTTTCAAAACGGCTTGGTGGTCTCACCCACTGCCAAGAGCTAAATCAGTAAACTACTATCCAACTAGCACATTCCCCCTCCCAACAACACCTCAGCAATGAATAATTTTACAACCCTAGTCCTTAGTACTGCAGAGAAACTTACTACGTTTTTAAGAATGAGTGAATGTAACTGGTTTAATCAGAAGATTGCTGTCTGCCGTGTAGTCTGGTAGATTTCCACCAATGTTTCAGAGGTCATACTGCCTCCGTCATCAGGGTGATGAAACATTGGTGGAAATATACCAGACTGCATGGCACAATAACCCAGAAGACAGCAATCTTCAGACTCACAGCTGTGAAAACTTAAAATCCTACATGGTTTAATCAGTATTACTGCACTCACGTCCACCAAGAAAAAGTTTCTCAGCACTTCCTTTAAACATGTACAAACATTTTACATAAATCAATTCAAAATTCCCATACTGAAATTAATGGGACCATTTCACGAGTTAAGATATAAAATCTCCATACCCATAAGTTTACCAATAAGGAGACGGAAGGATATCAAAATGGATCTTATGGAGGTGGACTCTGAGGGTGGAAAATGGTTGGGGTTGGCTCAGGATTATGTCCAGTAGAGGGCTTTTGTGTTGTTGGTGTTGGACTAGTGGGTTCTGCTACCACGGATTTGTTTAGTTAGTTTATTATAAACATTGTATTCAACTTCACAACTTTTGCTCACAACTTAAGGCCTGTATGCACTAGGGCACATGTTGCAATACAAGTTGAGCGACTTGTATCAGGAGACATGTCGCAGCGACATGAGACACCGATACATCTGTCCACATTGTATGTTAAGATGTCAGAAGAGGAGGTACTGTTTACCTGTGCATTTAGCTGAAAAGAAATCGAAGCGCAAGAAGAGTGTGTGGGTAAGAAAGTTTTTAGAAGAAAGGGATACATGTGTACTCTCAAACCTGCAGATGTCAGACGGATCATTTTGCAACTTCACCAGAATGACGACAACTGATTTCGAGGTACTGTTGCAAATGGTTGGGAGTTCAATTGCGAAGACAAACACAAAGTGTCTGATGAATCGCCAGGGTCCACATTATTAAAAAAAAAAAATGTTGGTAGGCAAACCAAGCTGGAACATACACTTCATCAGCTCCTGAACCACTCTTCATAGAATTTTGAATCTTCTTTCTTTCGCGCATAAACTGTGAGCGAATGTTGTGCATTTTCGCTTCAATTATGTTTCGTGGTGTTCCCATTTCTTCCGCGATGCTGTTCCATGCATCTGTCTTTTTATTCCGATTTTTATAATCGGCATGTTGCCCATTCCATAGACATCGATTTACATGGTATAATTCAATCAATTTTAAAACACGATCGTTCGACCACTATACATTCATTGCTGGTCCCACGACACGTCCACACTGCACGCAAGCTATTGCAATACTCAAGACGTCCTTTGATGCTCCTTTGTGTTGCCGCCTCTCAACCGATAACCGGGCACATGATATTTGTTGCAGAACACACTGCGACTTGTCGAGGCACATCAAGCGACTTTGTGCCACTACAATGTGCCGCAACATTTGTGCCCTAGTGCGTACAGGCCTTTAAACTTACACTTAAAAGCCACTTATCATTACTAACTGCCTCACATTATCAAAGAAACTTTTATAACCATGCATCAACCATTTATGATGTTTGTCACCCAAAATCAAATACAATCAGTTAACAAGTAGTTGGTATAATTTGTGCTTAACATAATACTTATATTCTGGCCTAAACAATTAATATTTTCTGGTCCTCCATTTCAGGTTTCTACTGTCTACTATCTATGAGGATAAAAGCCAGCTTTTGTCCATATTATGTAGTGTTTGGCAAAATAAGGGGATAATTATGTACAACTGGTAGGGATTGCTTAGGGCATAGTTACAACCAGTTTCTTAGCACTGCACAGCATTTGCCTGGAGGGACTGTGAAAACCCAAAAAAATTAATATGACTTCAGGATAGAATGTTTCATACCAACTTCTTCCGTTAGTACTATATTGCCACACTTTTTTTCACTTCATTTAATGTGTCAAATAACTTTGTATGACTGCAGAAGAAAACACTTTATATCTTTCTTCTGATCACATCTTCTTTTTATCCTGCACCTGCTGCAGTAACAAGGAATAGGAAAGTGCTGTTGCTATTCCTGCCACCACTACTTTTAGTAGGGATGTTCCTTGGAAGCCATACATATCATATACTAGGCCTGTGCAAACTGGGGCAAAGAGTCGTGCTGCAGAAAATGCATATTGTCCTGGTCCTTTTACTGAACCCTTCTTGTTAAGTGAAATTCTCTGCTTGATTATCTCTAATGTTGCAGTTTTCAGTAAACATACAGATGTACTTAGAGGTAAAAGACAAACAAAAACACAGGTCCAGTTGGGGGCAAGACTGAGGCAAAAAAATGAAAATGTAAGAAGTCCAAAACCATGTAAGCTCCTGTTAGTGTGGTTTGGATCAGACTTATAGAACATATTCATCCATTCAGTCAAGAAGCCAGATATTGCTATGGCCAAGCCCTGCAATGCAACTGTGTAACCAATCCACCTGGGAGGAGTACTGTACACGTCTCGCAGAACAGGTGCAAAATTCACAAGATGTATGGTATGTGTGAAGTCAAACAGAAATTTGAGGAGAAACACATCCCAATAGAATAACCAATTGATGTGCACCAGACCTGTTACTGAATTAAAGATTTCTTTTAACAGAGACTCTCTTTTAATCTCATTTTCTATAGTCTTCTTTACAGATGTCTCAGATTCCACATGTTTCTCATCTTTTATATCCGGACTGGAAGTCTTTGACTTCACAGCTTTATTATCCTTTTCATTTTTGTTAGTATGTGGTCCATTTGGAAGAAAAAGATTCACAATTGCTGTAAAAGAATGAGCATTTTCAACACTAATATCATACATTTATGTAAGTAGGGTGGCAATTATCTTATGAATTGGATGTATAAGTACAGAGTGACAGCAGATTAAGTCTCACAACAAAAATGCTGTAGCTAAGCTGTTCAACAGTTATTAATTACTCACAGAGAAAACATATTTTATAGACATAAAAATAACAATGTTACTAAATTATTCAGACACAATACTTTAAACTCTAATATGAAGGTGTTAAGGCATGCACTAAACTGAATATTGAGTTGGTCCCAATCATCCTACTCATATCCAGTTCTAGATATAGTAAATGAAAACAAGATTAAAAAGTTGTAATCTTTACCAAAATGCATAGGTTCCCACATGTTCTTTGTGCCTTTGCATTCCAAATGTTTCTAGCTGGCATAAAAAATATACCATCTAACACACATACTACGCAAGTGATAACAAATTGCTCAGCAGAATACTTGGAACTAAGAAAGAGTAAAGTAACAGGAGATTTGAGAAAAAAATATGAGGAGCTCTGTAGTCTTCACAGAATATTAGGGTGAGCAAATCAAGGAAAATAAAATAGGTGGGGTATGTAACATGCACTTAGAAGATAAGAAATGAGCAGAAACTCTTAGGCTTGGCTGAAAGGATAATATTAAAATAAATCTTAAAGATACTGAATACAAATTAGAATCATGTGGCTCAGTATAAGGTCAAGTAAAGGGATCTAGTAAATATGGTAATGGGTCTTCAGGTTCTATAAAATGCACAAAAATTTGACTAGCTGACCAGCTATTAACACCTTAAAAACTCTGCTCCATGGAATTAATTTGTGCCAGAATTACTGGATAACTGTTTAGTCATAAAAATGTCACCATACCTCTGTCATACTAGTTATCTGTATTCGTTCTAATAAGCTGAACTGTATGCAATGGGACTGTTCTCTGTGTAATGTGACCCTGTGTGAGAAGGACATGTAAATTTATAAAGTTATTTTTAGGAGAATGATGTCACTATGTCTGCCTTAGATGGATCACATCAAATTATGAAATACAAACCAGCTCCACACAATAGCAGATTGCTTATAGCTGCTAAAGCAGTAACAATATTACACTAATATTAATAATACACTAATAATACCCTATTTTAAATTATTTTTTGGGCAAAAAATGGGGGAAAAATTACAGAAATATATATACACACCATAAAAGAACACCTGTAACAAATAATACTCTCTAAAAATACAATATGAAACTCACAGGACAACATGGAGAAAACCATGTTCTTTTGGTTACCTTTAATTCAAATAAAATCAAGTCAGAAACGAAGGTAATGTCAAATGTCACACTTTTCCTGAGTATATAAAATTTTGCTTGAAGAAGTGATTTAAATGCCTCTGGACCTTTAAAATATTTTGTGCATGGGTTGAAAATGTAATAGAATTGATATGGTAAAGACATATAAGGCAAATACAGTATACTTGTTAATGGCATATAACCACAGCCAGAAAATCTCAAGGGATGAGACACTTACGAGACCTAAATGTAAATGGGCCTATAATATTAACATGGATTTATGAATTAAGAATTTGTACAAACCAAAATTGATTAAGAAGATGATGGAGATAATGCAACACACATATTGAAAACCATGATGCAGCTCCAGCATGTTTCCAGCAATGGCTGGACCTGTCACAATGCCAACAGTTCCAAAGAAGGTCAACGTTCTCTGAATTTCCAATTTTTCTGCAGGAGACACCACTTCAGCAAGAATGGTTTCACATAGTATCTGAGTATGTGTAAACATTCCTGTAAATAAGAACACATATTTGTTTATGGGAACTCTTTTAAACCAACACGCACTACAGAAAAGGAGTAGATACTTTCAGAGCAAGCAAACTTTTGAAACATAAGAATTTAATAGGAGAATATTTGAACATAAAGAGAAAATAATGCGAGGCTGAAGAAAATTACACAGAGACAATGCAAAATTTGTTCTCATCATACAAGTACAATATTGTTAGTTACAAGGATAAAATGGGCATCAAATGTAGTGGGAAAAACAAGAAATGCATACAAGCTGGTCAAAAAAGCAAGGTATAGAAAGACTTAGGCATAGATGAAAGGTAAATATTTAAATGTATCTTAGAGAAATTTAGCATATTGTGTGTGGAATAGATTCAACTGGCCCAAGACAGAGTGAAGTGGTGCATTTTTATGAACATGGTGATGAAACTTAAAGTTACATAAAGGCATGGAATTTCTTACCCAACTGAATAACCAATTTTCAAAAACCCTGCACCAAGAAATTTACTATAATGGAAAAGAAAAGAAGAATTAACAATAAACAATATGGTATTCAACATAGAGCAGAATGGATGAAAAATGAGTGAAAAAATCATGTAGCATGTATGACAGCACACAAGACACAACAGGGACAAATGTTCTTCCTAAAGGAAGAACTGTGGAGAAAAAAGCTATGTAGTTATTTGTTGAAAATTACAGCATAACCAACTACACAGAGCAATCTCCCTAGGGCAGTTAACAGCTTCATAAATTTAGTGTTGTTATAAAACTTGTAAATACATAAGTGTTCACAAAACCCCACTGGACCCTACCCAGAGCCCATTCAATTCAGTTTATCCTCACTAACCTAGTAGTCTATAATTCCTTATAAAATGACCCAATCTATGCCTAGATCTCCCTAGCTTTTCTTTAATGTAGTCTCATAATAGTGTAACATAATCAGTAATTACATAGTGGGTTGTTTAAAAATACATGGATTTAATGTACACTATTACAATTAATTATTTCCTGTATTAATGTCTGTTGCTTCACAAATCACAGTCCTGATTAACTGGATATATTTTATCTTTTATACACCATAACACTGTTCTTCCAGTCTCCTGGCACTGAAGAGACCACCCACTCCTGCAGCTACAATAATCATAAATTCCACTAGACAATCAACTGTCCATTGAACTCCCTGCTGGCTAGTATTGAGAGTACTTGGAATTCTACCAATGGCTATTGAATGTCCCTAGTTCCATCTACCAGTTTCTAGAATGTTTTATTACATCCATAACACAGACCAAAGTTGTTTGATCATGTGAGCATGACCTGTTGTGCATGCCAGAGGTCATGAATCACACTACCTGAGAGCTTCCTTGGTTAGGGGTGACATTAACACAGGGCCAAATGTGACAGAGGAAGCGTGGCTTGTGACACTATATACTCGATGTGCCATATTATAAAAAGTTTAATAGTTCCTGTATTTAAGAACTATCACCACTATGCAAGTATATAGAAGAATGTAAAGTTCCACACACTTCACACATCTGCACAAAAGGGGTAAGTAGTCAGTTTCTTGTTCTGGTTGCTTTATACCTAAGAAAAAATACTCCATTAAACATTGAATGGGTCCTAGAGCTGATCAGGACCTGGCAGCAAAGAGAAAAATTCCTGGTCATCCAATCCTGTAGCTATCCTAGCTTATGAAACATCTTGAGTATTTAACTTAAATTGTACTGAGATAGGGGCTTTAAATCCCTGCACTATGTTGCAGACCAGATGTTAACTTCTGGGTTATCAGTTTACTGGTAAGCTCATTTGACACATGACCAGCTGGACATTATGTAAGATGCAATGCATGGTTAATAAGGGTTAAACTAAATCAAGAGAAAGCATAAAGTGAAGAGAAAGTGAACTGTTTGGTGTAAGAAGTATGAAACACAACTTAACAGCTCCTTTTATATGCCAAATTCAAAGTCATTGCAAGTTAAAATCACATTCACACATGATATACACAACTGTGTCTACATTAATTTTGCACCAAAACATCCAGTATATTTGTCTAAATAAAATTATAACAAAATCTGTCTCACATTTTGGATGTACACATATCTTAACATTAAACATTTCTATTAGAAATGCCATATAGTCTCATCACAAAAGCTGAAAAAGAAATTTCCAAGTAATAAAACCCACTGTGCTCTTTGTTTTTACCTAATACAATCCTGCTGAGGAAGATAACTGGAAGAACATTTGCAGTGCCCAGAATACAATAAAAGGTGGAGCAGACTAGAAGTGTGATCTGCAATATGAAGGCCCGACTCTTCACATCACCATAATAGCTCTGAAACATAGTAACCCAAACAGGAAGCCATGGAACATCTCATAATTTATTTCTTTGGTTTATATAAAGATTAACTGCTTAGATTATACAACATCAACTGGAATGATGAAAGTAAATGTTACTACCCAAGCATCTTTTTGGAGAGAATAAATGAAACCAGAAAGTCTGTCAGGAAAACTGATTACCAAGCTATTACTTACCCAATGCTGTCTGATGGAACACTTCATAAGGTAAATGCACTTTCAATCATACATTTCAATTTCCTACCACTGACAATTACCAGAAAGGAGGCCATTCAAACTTCTGCAGTCTGCAAGACATTGGTGCCATTTAATGCTTTGTATGGTGATAGGTCTGCGAACATGTATGTACCTTCTTTCACAATCACTTCTTTGTACAGTGTAAAATACAAAGTCATTAAAAATAAATATGTTACATAGCACAGCTTGTGTTTATACATACATACATACATACATATATATATATATATATATATATATACACACATACACACACACACAAAGAGTGTAGTTTTGTGTGTATGATGTTACTATTGATAGACATTTAAGGGAAAGGAGGTACATTAGTTCTGCCCAGAACTTATTGTTAAAGTAAAAAGCCTACAATGTTACCAAAGAAATAAAACATAGCTGATGAATGGCAAACATAAAAGTAACTGATCACTACTGTCTTGACTCCATTGTCTTCTGTGCAGCCTCAATGACTTTTCTCCCACAGCCCAGAATTTTCATGATACTAGGTTCAACTTCCATTACATAATTATACATACTATAACTGGACTGGAAATGAGCTGTAGTCCAAAATACAGAGACACCAGACTTCCAATGGTGAAGTGAGAAGCTCCTAGGGATCTCAGATATGGTGCCAATACAGGAATGATCAAACTGCATGCAACTGAATCCTGAAAGCATGTTTGAAGTCCTAAGTTTTCTCATTGATTATCAAGTTTATTCTCACCTCAGATGCACTGATAACCATGTTGTATGCAAGAAGTATATACAATTAATGCATTATGGCCAAACTGTATATGCATGTAACATGTTGGTACTGGGAGCAATAGTAGACGTTATAAGGCAAATTTAATTTTGGGCCACACTGGACCAAACATAACATGCACTCTAGATGAAGCCTAATTAATATTTTATTCATTTTCTCAAAAATGGTTCATCACATAAATAGTTCCATTAACATTTACTTTATTTGAAATATTAGAATAGATTATATACATTCCATGGATCCCCTATTAAATTAAATACAAGGGATAACACTTTTTGACTTTCTGGTATAGACAGCTTTGCAACAATAAATTTGTACTGGCAATAAGTTAACATAAAGGCCAATGAGGTGTGCAAAGTCACAGACAATGCATTTATAATCTTTCCACTCACCCAGTTATTAAATCAAAAGTATAAATCATTTTAAGTAGACCACCATCAATACTGTAAACATTCTCAGGGGTTTTTAAATCAACTGCAGGAAGATTGAGGAACTATGAAAGCTCTTACTGTGACTAACCACATTCTATATGATTAATAATGGAAAAAACTACTACTGTCCATAACTCACCATGAATGCAACAGCATACAACAGTTTCTCTTTTGTCAAGGCAACCATTTTCTTAAGATAACATTATATAATGTGACAAGGCAACAATCACTCAACCATATCTGATTACATCATACACACCACATTAGTCCTTCAGTTCCTTCTGCCATCTATGAAGTACAAATAACTTCAATTATGCTTTGCTCAGTTTTCTACTAGTGCCATCTATGGTACATAATTAATAGTATATGCACTTGCCAAAGGAAATTCCAAGCACCTGAAGATGTGTATGTTCTGTTTTAGCATTTGCTTTTGTATCGTTCTACCCATACGCTCATGAATGAATGACTTTTAGGCATCTTAAATAAAACATAATGATGTTCCTGATACATCTTAGAACTTAATAAAACCATTTCAACTGCAAAGGTTATGCAGTATTAAATGATATGGAAAGATAATATTTAACAACAGGCACATGGGGATCTGAAAGGAGGTTATGGTGGGCTATTTTAAGGCACTATCCTAGCATCTTCCCAGACAATGAGGGAAACCACAAAAAGTTAGACATGTTATAGGAGAATCAGATTGTAGATATTATTAAAATAAACAGGTTCCATGTTTCAAGACACTTGAACAGCATTTATAACATGTAATTAATATATAAAAAATATTACTTCTTGACAACATGGTGAGATTTCATGTAATCATGGCACTGAGTATGAAAATAAGTGTCTTCTGGAATGTTGTGCTGTGTAGTCTGGTAGAAGTTGGCCTACATTTCATCACCTTGATGATGAAGCCAGTAACCACCTCTGAAATGTCAGTTTCTACTACACTACACAGTGTAAGATCTATAACATCCTAGAAAACAGTCACCTTCTTGTTTACTCAATATCAAATACAGATGTAAGTACATATCACATTTAATATTGATAATACTTAACAGTCATATCTCAGAATGATTCACAGTTCCTGTGTGGTACAAAACAATGCTGAAAGGCTGAACCACTGTTTTCAAACCCATACCTCCATTTTGAATTCTCATGGTAACTAAAACTATCTTAATTATTTTATATTATATTTGGCACATGCATGATATATGAATGTGTAATTAGCAAAAAGCTGTATTGTCAAACACAGTCTTAGCATACAAACTTACACAATGGAGTCATGGTTTAGGCAGCATTAACTCCCATATATCAATACAGTAATGTGTTATGATATAAATGTTGTTCATCATAATGAAAACAGCATGAAAGTTACATACGGTATAACTGAAATGTTCATTTGTTATTGTTATTTCAGTTAGGAATAATTTACTCTCACAGTAACAAAAATTGGAACTGAATTTACAAAAATATAATTAGTTACATATATTATCTAGGCCATCATATTCTGTATATAAATTCAAAAATATTGCTACAACTTCTGTAATTTGCAAGGAAGGATTTTCTCTAATATTTACTTATCCTAGGTATACTACATATGTACCCTGTTTTTACATCATCAAAAGAATGGTATCCCTTTCAGACCCAAGCAATCAGGAACAGAAAAGTTTGGAAGCAGTTGTTCCCCAAATGACAGAAACATGAAAGTGACATATCTTCCTTTTCTTTCTGTTTTTCCAATGTAGACAAGACACCTGAACATTTCTGCATATGGGATACAAATTTATAGGCATCATAATGATGTGAGAATAAATAAATAATATGCTGACCCACACTATTGTGCAGTCCAGGTCTGATAGGGACACACAAGATATACAGACACTAATCACATACATTACACTGACATATAAAACACAAGAAAATTTACACTGACTTAGCATAGTGATCTGTCAACACACACTTCTCAGCTGTTTGAAAGATTTCAGTTAAAGACAACTTATTGAAAATAATTACTTCACCCCACAAGTTTTTAATATTATGTATTTTATGAATTGTTCTCATTTCATTCACAAAACCAGTTTATGTATTTATTCTTAATCTTTCATCCAACTCCTTTTATTACTATTAATAAAATTTCACAAAGAAACCAAGTAGTAATTGAAGGTGTGCTTGATACAAACTAAAAACTAAATATTGATGTGCAGAATGGGAAATGTTCCGACTAAATTGTGAATTACACACATCGATATAACCAAATGAAAATGAATTAGGATATTTTCAAAGCTGTAGCTTGTATTTGGCACGACTGGACTATATATTATTAGAATTTCATGAAAATATTCTCAATCACCACTTATGCTTAGCACAGATCAGATCACAATTACCTTTTCTGCACATATTAGAAACCTAAATTCATGAAGCTTGCAGGTTGCAATGTGTATACTAACATAAGTAAGAGGTATAAAAAGTTAATTCACTTCCTACAATTTGCATACTTAATTATTCAAAAAATAAAGCTGTCTTTTGTTATACAGGGTGATTCAAAAGTCCCTGTACACCTGTAAGAACACAAATATATTTCTCATGGTCCACAAAGCTCACCATCTACAGCATGACTGGCTAAAGGAAGGTAATAGTGAAGGTCACACAACACATAACAGTCATATAGACCACATAAGACATGTATGTCTACAGTGACTTCAATCACTCCCAACTTCCAACACCTACTGTTACAGTTGCACAGGAATTTTTTAATCACCCTGTATTTCCTTGCTATACAGAAAACTGTAACTTAAGCTTGAACTACCAGAAGATGGAATTTTTACCAACACCAAGTTCTAAAAGTATTCTAAGCTACATATATCTTGGTGAACCAGGAGTTTCCATAGTGATGGGTGTAATGATGGCAGTCTTCTGGGATGTAGCATCATGTAGTCTGATAGATTTCACAGATGTTTCAGAGGAGCTTACTGCTTCCTTCATCTTGGTAATGACAGAAGCAGAAGCAGTAAGCTAGTCAGTATCTATGAGACTAAACAGTACTTCATCCAAGATGATGGTCATCATCAATAAATATTTTGTTCACAGGGTTATGAATAGGGTTAATCACCAGTTATATGGGATAAGGCCAGTGGGAAGACCTAAAGGTAGATGGCTGGATGCAGTGACGACTGACTCCAGAAATCTCCTTGGAACAGCAGCTTGGAGAAGGATAGCATTGGATAGAGAGGAAGAAGATAGAGGAGGCTAGGGCTTGATTTTGGGCTGTTACGCCATAGTAGTAGTAGTAGTAATCACCAGTTACTTTATTTTCATTGATTGGGCAAATTTCATGACTTTATGTAGTTTTTAACTTCAGAATGCATAATTCCATTGAAATAAGTACAGTAACTGCTGATATTTTTGTTCTCTTAAATGCATATGATTCAGGGTTTTTGAGACTTGGTTTTCCAAAATGAATGTCTCAGTCCCCTTCTGCATGTTCTATTTTATTCCTGCTTTCTGTTCTTCATTGCCATAGTTTTGTTCTACTGCCTTGATTCTTTTTTAGTCGTCAATCCTAGGATTGGTTGGCAATGGAGATTTACTAGCGAAGATACGACTGTGGTTTCGCCTTGACTACCTTAGCCAGTCTTAACCCACCAACTGCCTTGATTATAGAGGGAAATAATAGTGAGGTATGCTGAGGCAACTCACAACAAACTATTGGTAAGAACTGGTAATTATGTCATAGATACTCCTAATATATGCCTTTCTTCCTTAATGCTTTAATATATGTGGATATCTCTGGACACTTTCTTGTGAATGTTCCTTTGTTCCTTGACATTGGTTTGTTTGTTTGTTTGTGTGTGTGTATGTGTGTGTGTGTGTATGATGGACATATACATGACTGACTCTAAAGATAGAAAATACTTCAGTCAAACCCTCATATCTTCTCACCATTCCCCTCCCTCCCCCAAAGAGAGGAACACAAAAGTAAACAATACTATCTAACCATCTAGACTCAACAGACTCAATTTCATATCCCACACAAAGTCAAAGGTTATCAAACACATTCCTAAAAAAACTGGTGTATCATAAAATAACAATGCAAGCACCATATTAAATGACAACAATACATATCACTCAGCAAGTGTTATGGAAAAATCAAGTACTTTTTGCAGAGTATAGATGACTGCACAAGAAACTGACTGTTCTACATTTATGAAAAAGAAGTGCCAGTAATATAACTACAAAACCAAGCAAAGAGAACCAATAAACACCCACAATAAACACCAGTACTATAGAAAATGTAACTACAAATAATCCATTTAACCTAACAAGCCAAGAAAGAGAGGCAAAATCTGAGACAGATCCAGGTAAGATTTCTGGTTCTTATGGCAGTAAGAAGATGACTGTCTTCTGAGATGTTGCACCATGTAGTCTGGGAGAAGTTTACTGATGTTTCAGAGGTGATTACTGTCTCCATCATCAGGGTAATGATGATGGAAGTAGCAAGCACTTCTGAAAGGTCAGCAACTGTCTACCAGACTACACAGTCAAAATCTCATCATGGTGACTGCAACTAGAGACAAACTAAGATCCAAAACACCTATCACCACTAATATTATAAACCGAAACTAGACTTACAATCAGGAAAACTTGATGACCCATAACAATATGAAGAACTTGCAAACTTCTCAAGCACCACTTCCACCTACAAACCTCCAGACCTAAGTCACACCTAATATCAGGGTTACTAAAAACAATACAACAATTTTACTCCATGTTTCACAACACCAATTATTACAAAAGTGGTTACAGGCCTACTGGGGAACACCCATTATAAAAAAAATGTAATGTATCATGTCAACCACAACCTCTGAATGAAGTGGAGTGCAAATGTTAACACAAATACCATTCTCACATCAAAACAAAACACCACACACAACTGAAAATATAACAAAGGAACATCCACAAAATAGACATAATCACTGATACACAAACACAAATTCTCAAGAGAATTTCCATGTTTGTTGCAGGGGCCATATTAAATGACAAACATCTCTGTATGAGAAAACTGTTTTACTTTATATAAACAACCCTTTAATATGCATGGCTTTGCTACATTTCACAAACTAGTATATGATTTCAATTGTCTTAAATGGCATATTTGAACTCCAGAATAAGGTAAATTTGTCCCTGGGCTTAAGCGCTATGATATTAAGGCATACAGAGGGGACAACAAGTACAGTACCATACATTCAAGAAATTGGCCTTAAATGGAGGTGGGGTGGTCTGTTTCATACTCCAACTGCTTTACCTATTGGGCATGAGCCTCCAATAATCACTACACAGGAGAATGAGTGAGCCCTAGAAAAAATCCCTACCACCAACAGGAACTAAATCCTGATCAAAAAGCTAGTCACTATATTGAGTGAGCTATGCTGGCTGACCATTTATATGATGGGATATCTGATATTTTAACATTACCAACAAAATGAATTACATAAACTTGAAATTTTAATAAAGAAAGTCTGTGTATGGGGTCATCATGTACAACATACCAAAATAAAACAATAACTATTTATGAATGGCTGAGGTTTATGAAAGTTGAAAACTCTCTGTAGCTTGAAATGACTCTGCCTACAACAGAAAACATGTGACTACACTCCTGCACTGAGTTAATCTCTGTTACTGGCTGACAAACTTATAACCAAATGGCCACCCACCTGTGACACTGACTGATACAATGAGTCCTGAAATGTAGCACACAGTTCATAAACCTTGTACAGAAGGTATAGAATGTCTCAATCAGTAATACAGAGGAGTGGGCATGTTGGCAACAGCAGTTATATTAACATTAAATGTGTTTGGCAGTGAAAGATACTGGTTTGATCACAGAAACAAACATTCAATATACTGCATTAATGTGAATGGGCAAAGCTGATACATCACAAATATTTACTTACAACATACAAACACATTTAAACATTACCTTTACCATTACATTACCAAACACATTTCCTTGTCAAACACATGAACTTAACATATTTATTTCCCTGTCATATATTATGATATTTAGTCTTGAATTAAGTTACAATATTAAGACAAAAATGGTGTCATCAACCAACATAATTCCAAAGTTATTACGTAAACTTCAGATTCAAAGATAGTTTAATTCTTATAAATCAGTGTCCTGAAGGTACTTTGTGTCCTGTATCATCAGACATACTTTCAAAAATAAAATTCCTTCTGTACATCAAGATTAAGAGTTATGCAGGGTACAATAAGCTGTAAGTATAATTGCAGTTCTGTATGAGGCTGGTATTCCTTAATGAAACACAATACTCTGCCATTGGCAACATATTCTTGCTTCCTTTGGTTTGTTCGTTCATTGTTTATTTTTCAATTGTATGTCATCAAATTCACAGTATATACAATTCCAAGTCTAGTCTCCTGGTTATTTCATAATATTACAATAAATGCCACGAGTTACATTTTATTGAAAAGACAGGTATATTTCACTTTCAAAGTAATAAGATTCTATCTCAAATACAATCTTCAGTCCTGTATTAGATAAAATGGACCTGTAATGAGAAGATCCGAATATACTCTGCTGTCAAGAAATTTTACCAGGAATGCATGTTTTTGATGATTTACTCACTAACAGCAGAATGCACTCTTCCTGGCTAGGGGTCCTTTCTGAATCTAAAAATGGAAGTTATTGGAAAGAAGCAACAATTTAATTTAGGTTAACTCTTCATTCTTATCCACAAGATCTAAACTGGAAGATGTGTATGACTTGATTAAAGTCCACACAGAGAAACATGAAAGGGATGGGGAAACAATGAAGAGAATTAAGTTTAACTACATTGGAATACTGTACGAAAGTTGGTGTTAGCAAAAGACAGGGTTTATCAGTGTGACCAAAACAATGCTGAAAACATACCAAAAATAGGGTTGTCTCACAAGCGACTTCCTTACTAAATATTTCAACAGAAACAGGGAGATGTAGAAGGTGATAATTTATAAACTTACATTTTATTTTGGATGAATTCATGGCAACTTTTGACTAATGTGAAAAAAAGTTAAAAGCACCTTACTCTACACAGCCATATTGTCGAACAAATCTACAAACTAAAAATCTCAGACAAGAAAATAGCATATACATATTATGGAGTTACAGACTATATACTATGCATGTCGACTAGCCTGGTACTACACCAACACTGATGTTGGAATTCTCTCAGCTCATATAGCTTTTAAATCGAAGGTTGCAGGAATGGCCTGCTGCAATCTTTTACTAATTCAGTGGTGCTCACAAAGAGGAGGGTTAAGTTAAAAGTGATTCCTACTGACCTAAGTCCTTATTGAGCACCAAAGAATTATTCAAGCAGAGAAGACACAGAGAGAGCCATTCATGAGATGTGATGCAAATAATTTTTACCCTTCCCTTCTAACTGCACTGAAGACTGGTACTTTACCTTCAGTGAAGAATAAGAAGATTTCTGTCTTCTGGGTTGTTGCTCTGTGTAGTCTGGTCGATGTTAACCAACGTTTCAGAGGTCATACTGCCTCTGACATCAGGGCGATGAATAATTTCATTGAATTCCCTGATGACGGAGGCAGTATGACCTCTGAAACGTTGGTTAACATCAACCAGACTACACAGCGCAACAACCCAGAAGACAGAAATCTTCATACTCACCGCTGTGAAAACCTCAATTCTTACATAGTAAAGAATAAGTTTTCAGGTACATACATTTACTTCTCATTTTAAGTAATTTAGAAACCACTAGGGACAATTCAGAATTATTTCTGAAGTGTTTTATCAATGTATAAATGTCACTTTACAATATGTTGTGCAACCATTGGCAAATAAACAATAACCAATGTAACTGTATAGGACCATTAACAAAACTAGTACTGAGTGGTTTATGCACTGAAAAATCTGAGTATCTTTAACATAACTTCTTTGTTCTCTAGGCAAATTAAACATAAACAATTCATGCAGGAACACTACCAGTGAGATAATGGCTGACTCACAGTTCCACTTTTGTGCACAAATTGCCTGATACACTTGAAACAGAATGACTTCATAAAACAATGTTTAGAAAATATCAATTACTACAAATTTTCACTAATACTTATGGCACACTTCTGCCAAACTCACAAAAGCACAGAGATGGCCAATACTGATTTATGATTACATAACATCTGGATAATATGCATAATTTATAAACATGGATAACTGGTTACCATGAATCAGCTGAGAAGACGGAATGTGGTTACAAATTAAGAAAATTATAACAGTTCTGGTCATAAAGCAACAGATAACTGCAGGCAAATGGGCTCTGAATACATTCACTTATAATTCTGGTATATGAAAAATGCAGAAGCTGCTGCTGCTTTCAAATAAAGCAAGATTGTATCAGAGAAAGACAACCACTACTGCAAGTCTATTGGAGGAGCATATGAAAAACCAGCAAATGCATCATCAGCCTCCCGGACACTGGCAGATAACACAGAGGTAGAATGTGAACATCCAACTGATGATGTCACTGGTTCTCTGGTGAATTCTGGATCTATGTGGCGCAGATCCATCACACTTTGCTGTGGAGAGAAAGAGTTCCTTTTAGTGAAGAGAATAATGACCAAAATGTCAGTAAAAAAAAAAATTAAAGTGACTGTTTGGGATTGTAACTTGAAGGCTCAAACTGCTAACACCACAGCTTGCCACTGAACACAATCCTAAGCCAGTACCAGTCACCTCCATTCTTCATAATCTAGGATCCATCTTAATATCAGCATCCCTTCTCATGCTTGGTCTTTCAAGATGATGAATTCTAATAATTTATCTCAACAAATTTCTATGTGTTTCTTGTCTCCTCCATCCTAGCTACATTCCAAGCCCATTATAGCCACCAAGAGTTCACTCTCCTAAAAGTACTATAAAATGCAAAGTCACAAAGTTCTTTGTTACCTACTTACTTCATCCTTCTTAGGCCCTAATATTTTTTGAGGACCTTTAATTTACAAACATTTGCAATTTATGTTCTTCCCTTATGTAACAGTCTATGTTTCACACCCACACAAAACAACTGGCAGAAGTATTATTTTGTACATCTTCAGCATTCTGTAAAAAAATACGGTAATATATCTGCAACTTTAGGTCTATATGTTGACTGTAGCCATCTGGATTGTGATGATGTGTATTCATGTAGATGGTTACTCTGGGATATGACACTGTGTAGTCTCTAAAGCAGTTCACAGTCTTCCTCAAAACATGCACTTTTCAAGCCCTTTCAGTCTCACATCCCATTTTGACTCTATTCAACCCTAAAGATTAAGTAGTACATTCCTCCAAAACATTGATAAGCACCTATAAGACTATGTGATGTAACAACCCAGGAGACCAAAGATAATAATATATGTCTCTGAATGGACTAATAGCAAGCATTCCGATTATTCACTGTTCTCCTAATTTAAACATAACAAATACAGAATGAAAATACTTATTCCCAGTAAGCAGAAAAATTGAAGATGTACACTCAGTTTGGTGTAAATAGAATATCCAAATACAATCTTCATAATTCTGCATGCAGAGGCTGAAGTTCATTTAATACAGATACAAGTCTTCTGCTGCCAAAGTCAGTTAAAAGTGGACACATTATACTGTACAGCTATAAATTCTGTCAAATATAAACTACATTCAAATAAAGTTATAAATCTTAATTTGATGTAATGTATCTATTTTTATGAGCTGCATTTGATTTCACCATTAAGTAAAGTATGGATTATGCTCAAGCCTGATCCAATTTCAAAGCCATCGTCTGAATGGTCTCCCTAATATGTGAGAAGTTATCAACATTTTCCAGAACTGGGACCACCTACACTCAAATCAACCAAATAATCAATCATTAAAGCATTTGGAATTCGGTGGCTGACACTCATACAAAAAACTGCCTTTAAAGATATTTATCTATGGAATTCCAGTGAATATCTGTCAGAACCCCAGAATTGTGTGCAACATACTTCCAGAATGAGTGACCCTACGGAAAAGGCAACAATTAAAGGACAGCCAAAGGCTTTAAACAAATTAACATTTCCTGTGCTATAAACAAGATGTGACTTTTAAACTCGTACCTCTATTCTGTATACATATGCCCTTGGTGTCTGGCAGAGTCAGTGAAAAGAATCTATCTTACCTTGTCTTGGCACTGTTAACAATTTGATAAATCCTACAAAATTAATATACCAGGTGATTCAAAAAGGACTTTACAAGTTTTAAAGTGTATAGAAATTTAATCAGAAAGCTTACAGAATCGGTTGAGGTGTCATTTTGTAGCAAAACAAATCAAGTTTGACTCACGTGCTGTAGTACCGAATTCCGTCACCGCGAGCGCAAGCGGCAGTGCATTTGAAAATGGCTACTTTCACAGGTGCGGAGCGCGCTCGCTGTGTGCTGTGGTTGAAGAAACGAAATCTGCGACAATGGTTCAATGAAATTTTCGCACCCAGTATGGCAAGGATCCTCCCAGTAGACCTACAATTTACTCTTGGCACAAGAATTTTGTTGAGACTGGTTGTTCTGTTCGCCATGACAAATCTCCAGGTCGCCCGCATGTTTCTAGTGCTGTTGTGAAACACGTTCGTAACAGCCCAAAGGTGAATGTGTTTTGTGCCCTTAGCAAAGTTAAAGTGTACGGCCCGTTCTTTTTCCATGAGAGAACCATCAACGGTATCGTGTATCTGGATATGCT